GATTTTCCTCAATATGTAAACTTTGGCTTCACAAGCATTAGTAATGTATACCAAGAACATATTATTAATACCACACTAGATCCTTTTTGAGGCAACTCTAAGATCCGTCAAGATGAAGAGTTACCTGCTTTTTTAAAAATGTCAACAGTTTTGAGCTTTCAAAATGCAAAAGATTCCATATAGTTCAACTGAGTCATTTAGGCATAGTTTATGATTTGACCATCACATTCATACATAAATCTGACAAAACAATTTTAGTGACGAAAGAACAAGTTTGGAAATATCATTTTTTTATTTGAAAAAAAAGGTGTTTTCTCTACCTTGTAGCATATTATAGTACAAACCTGGTTGGTAGCCTATAGCTTTGAAAGCAAAAAAGTAGATACACTTTTGCTACACGTATAAACCACTCTAATAGGTCTAATAAGTATCAAGCAAATATTAATGCAGCGCACACAATAAAAATAATAAATGTATTTTGGTAAACAAAATTTCAAGTAATTCAGATCAATGTGTTAAATAGATCAATAACACAAACACGTTATTTGACCGTTTAGATACAAACTAGTGTTATGACTGGCACTTTTAAAGGTAGAAAAGTACACGCAAAACTTGCTTATCTTATTTTCATTCAATGATTTATGATTTCTCTCTGGCGTATATATTTTTTCCAGGTGAAGGAAGATCTGCTGGAACTTCGTAACAAGACGTGTCTTGCATTCTTCCTGATCAACAGTTTCTTTGTCGCTCTTGTGTTGATGCTGCAGCAAGTTGCTCAGGAAACACCCAACCTTTCCATTGAGATCGACTGTCACATAGATGTGAGCCTGCCATTATTTATGGAAGAAAGCAAGACTGTGTGTGTGGGGGGGGGGGGTAGGGTGAAACTGTAGTGCCATGATTTTAAAAGGCGCGGTCAGATAAAGAGTAGAGGTGCATGGCGGGGAAGAAAGGGAGGGAGGGGGGAGTATGTTGATCTCAGTTAGGAGGGAGGGGTGAGTAGGTGTAAAGGGGGGAAAAGTTGGGCAGCGGCTTGGGTGGTTACGTTGTAAATTTTAGTTCTATGAAATGGGGCTCATCAATATTGATGCCAGATAGGGTTTGATTTGAGCCCAGGTTCCACATCCACTTAGATTCTCTAAGGTTGAGATTTTCTTTTGTAGGTTTTTTTAACAATCTCTCTACCCTGAAGCTGCATGACAGTGTCATCATCAAGCGAGCAAGAGCAATACTAATAGCAACAAGAGTAGCTTAATCGTAATAAGTATTTCTGTGCCTCCTTCACCACCCCCCACCCCTTACACAAACACACCAGGTGAGGACCGCTGGCTATGTACTCTCCTCCTACAACAAGGCTACCGCGTTGAATATTGTGCCGCCTCTGACTCGTTCACATACGCCCCTGAAGGGTTCTTCGAGTTCTACAACCAACGCCGTCGCTGGGTACCCTCAACAATGGCCAACGTTCTTGGTGAGTACCACAGACTTATATTATACTATCCTTGACCGTGCGCTCCTGTCGTAATTCCTGTTGACTATGGAGGGCACCATTTTACTCGATTTAGAACCAAAGGGCAAGGGAGAAACATTTGCCCACACTCGACTAAAGCGAGACTTGTAGTTTTGCCTTTCATTTGAGTTTCCACGAAGTCTTTTATAGAGCGTCCAGAGTGGTGGCCATGACAGTGCCTAGACTAGTATATTATTATTTTACTTCAGGTGTTATACGGTGAGTTCCAAGATTTTGCCAAGAGCCCCCCCCCAAAAAAAAAATTTAAAAAAATCAAATCGCTTATTAGCAAACGTACATTTCATTTCCAGTGCGCTACAGTCTGAACCATTGGTAATATGCATGTTTATAGAGGCACCAGCCTTCCATATCTCGGTACTGTTTTAACTAATAGTTTTTTGCATTTCTAAAGGTCTTTCATCAGCAGGATACCGGCTTTATTTCCCCCAAAACAGGTTAGAAAAATGTGAAGCTAAAATTGAGTAAAAGGAGGTGACTTACTTGTGCTCCTACCATTAACATTTCCTTTAAAATAGAAAATAATGAAACAACTCTGAAAATAACAATAAAAAAAGAGCAGTCAAGAAACAAAATCACAACAACCAAATCACTAATGAAAAATACTAGTCAAAATACATGAAACCACTCATGTTTGCCATTGTTACCTTAAGTCTGTTAATTTAGCGCCTACATGTATTATCATCCTGAACTACTGTGTGGATGACTCTGGTTCCTCTGATAAGAAATATTAAAAATTTTTGGTAACTTGGAGAGGTTTCTTAGGTCTCTAACTATTTGTGTTTATGGTATCAGGTTCCACCTTTTAAAGAACTCTGTGAGTGATGAAAAACTAGACCCTCAGAAACTCCGAGTATAAAACCATAAAGATAAAGACCAAACAATGGCTTTACGCACCTTGTAAGCTAGTATTTTTAAAACAAGGGTTCAAGTGAAGAGGAAACATTTTTCTTTATATTGTTTTGTTTGTGT